TCCCGCTCCCAACATCATTCACCCCCGTCCCCTTGACCTTGTGATCACTAGGATTCGCCGCCGCCTCGTACAATATATTCGCCGGCGCGCGCCCCAACTGCATCCACTCGCCCTTGAACCCCAAATACGACACCCTCGTCTCGTCCTCCTCCCCGTCGCCGAAATTGTCTTCGAAAAACAGCGTCAGGCGCTGGACGCGCCCGAAGAGGCTCCGCTTGACGGGGATCTCTTGGACCTGCCCCGTGCGCGAGAGCTCGAATTCCTGCGTGGGGTGGGCGTCTTCGGCCGAGGCGAAATCGAGGTCGTCGCGGTTGATGAAGATTTTGAGGGTGCGTGGCGCCGAGGGGGAGTCGGAGGTGCGGAGGAGGAGGGCGTGGAGTTTGACTTGGCCGGTGAAGCTTGGGTTTGTTAGTTGTGCTTGAGGGAAGAGATGTCGGTGATGGGTTTATGTGTGTGTGTGTGTGTGTGTGTGTGTGTGTGTGTGTGTGTGCGTAATGATAGTGAATGAGAAGGATGAATTGAGTAAAAAGAAAGTGGAAAAAGATAGCACTTCATAAGATCTCATAACCAAAAGAACTCAAAACATATCTCGATGAGACAAGACCAGATGGGACTTGAACACATGAAGAAAGTAGTGTTTCACTCACGGAACATTAATCAACAACTGCTCATCACAGTCGCTCACGACCTCGGGTTCGGCGTCCAGCCTCTCGGCCCACGTCTTCTTGACGACGGCTCGCGCGCTGCCGATCGCCGCCTCGTTGAGGGCCGTCACCTTGTCAAAGTTGATGTGGCCGTACAGCGAGTGCTGCAGCGCGGGGGTGATGTCGTCCGAGTGGTCGTGCTCGTCGTGGCCGCCGTGGCTGTGGTCGTGGTGTTCGTCGTGGCAGTGGGACATTGTGTGTGGTCTTACTAGGTTGGGTTTTTTACTGTGGTGTTCTGGTGTTTTGATGTTGGGTGTTTTTTTGGTGATTTGCTGTTGAGACTGGTGGTGACGATGGTGGGGGTGTTTTTGGAGGGGTCGTTTGGCACTGGTGAGGGGTTCTTCCTTTCCGGTGGGTAGTTTGGGTGATATATTGTAAGGCGTGGTAACTAGGTGAGATCTTCCCTCTGTGGTGATATCTCGTGGCGTAAAGACCGTTTGGGTATCAAGGATGCGAAATGAGTGAGTGATGAAGATGAGTCGTTCTACGTTTGCTCAATGATGCTGCGGATGATGGAGTGCAGTGAACAAACGGCCCCACTTCAAGCTAGAAGGTTCCGGCGCCGGGTCCGTGATTGGCTCTAAGCCCACCTCCGCTGGACGTCGAGGTCCGTTGCGGCCCCGTTGATGAAAAGAGTTTTTACCAAAATAGGTGTTTTCAGTTCATAGAAATCATTTCTTGTGTTGGGTTTTTATTTCTTTTTTTTATATGTTGGTCGTTGAACTCTTTAAACGTATAAATGAAATGCTCGGCCTTTCGTGCTGTTTGCTCGTCTTGTCAGGCGGGTGAGAACTGGGTCGGGCTCACCTATGACTACCATGAATTCGCATCTTACGTAGATCAGAAGGGGCTCCATACCTTTTAAGTTTCTGACAATATTTCATAGTAGAAGTCATGTTGCCATTCTCTCATTTCATCGTTTCCTGGTTCTGCTCACTTCAGTATATCTGAACCAAGTTAGCTATTGGCCGGTCCCAAACACATCGTATGTGGCTAGCTATATCTCTCAATAGCGACGATTTCACTACATCCTACCGGTATCAGGGCTACCACGTTCTCATATATTTCTGGGGAAATTATAAGATCTTCACGTCTTGGCAAGACAGCGGGTTTGCCCTCGGTCCGTGATGTGGACAGCGTGTACTTGCCAGCTTTTGCCGTCTGTCAACTTTACGAGTGACGAGGAGAGTGATAACTTGACCAGTACAACACAACGACACCTGACATCAATGCGGAATGATATTGCAAAGCCTCGCTAGAAATGCAGCAAATCTTAAGCCTCCCTGCAACAACACCCTTAGATTCCAAGATTCCCCCTTCAAGACCGTCATCGTCTCCGCCTCACCATAGACGCAACATCCCCATCCCCCTCCAAACTCTCATCCACAAACCCAAACCTCTCGTACAGACCCTTGCCCGCCTTACTAGCATCAACATACGCCGCGACCCCATCCTCATCAGCAAGCGCGCACCCCCACTTGAGCAACATGGACGCCGCGCCCCGGCGCTGGTAATCGGGATGCGTGACCAGCGTGTCGAGATCTGGTTTCCTCCCCAAATATTCATCAGCAACCGTCAGTCAAAACGACTCTCGCGTCGAGAGCACCAGTATCTCTATGACAATATCTCAAGAATCTCAGGATGCCCAAGGATAACGTAGGTCAATGGAGAAGAGAGAAGCGGAGAAACCCAAATGATGAAAGAACGAAAGAAAAAACTCACAATAATGCCTCTCATCACCCATAACCCTTGCCCTCTCCCCCTCCTCCCTAGCAAAGAACAAATCACACACCTCGGAAGGCATATCCCCCGCCCAAGGAGGGTACCGCCGGCCCCTCTCGGCCGGCATACTCGTATCCCACTTCGCCCACGCCGCGATCCTCGGTCTGCTGCCTCCGCCTGCTTTTCCCACTTCTTCACCTCTACCCACTGCCTCACCCCTTCCCTTCGTCTCCTCCGTCCCGACCCCGGTCCCGACGTCGCTACTCACATCAACAACCTTGACAAACCGCTGAAATGGCTTCGCCGCCATATCTCCGCCATTCGCCTCATCCCACCACGCCCGCACACCGGGAGTATCGGGCCACAGACGGCGAATCACCTCGTCGTCGGCGAACGCCGCGAACCACGTCTCCGTCAGCGCGGGGATATCGTCTAGTGTGGCCTCCTCTAGTTTGAGAGTTTTCCCCGTTTTCGTGGTCATTGTGTGGTTTCTCTCTTTCCTTTCCTTTCCTTTCTTCTCCTTCTCCTATATTGTCTCTTTTCTTCAGTAGGCTTGCTTTTCCACTTGTCGAAAGATTGCTGTCGTTGAGTTGACGAGTTTGATGATATGTAATGAACACTTTCCTCTAGGCTCGTGTAACAGGTGAAATGAGAGAGAGAGACAGAAGTGAGTGTTTTTTGCTTACTTCCTAGGTAAATCAGGACGAGTAGGTAAGCAAGCAGGAACAAATGCGGGGTTTGGCATCTTTGTCGATCAGGTGCAGATAGGATGGGTAACACGATCGATCCAATGCGGCTCGTACTGGCCGACTTCGTTTTCAAATCTCAAGTCTTTTGCCCCCCCGTGTTAGCCCTCAGCTAGTTTTCAATCTTTGAATGTTATGCGATCAACTTTGCTGAAAATGGAGCAACTTACCGAGGCAAAACCTCTAGAAGCTGACGGATGTACAGAGCAGTGGAAAACATTAGCACATGTCAACCAACACACGCTCGCGAGCGAGCCACAAGTTTGATCCGCACTCTTTTTGCATGACTGATTTCAATTATGCAGAAGTCGCTGGTAATCGACACGAAATTTATGTACAGACACTGTCCAATGAAATAGCTCCCGTTCAATTGAAATTCGCAATTGTGCTCGCAGATGTTGGGTTCGGCGACCCTCTCACCTTTGTTCTGCAACGCTTCTCTTAAACCCGGTACATCATCCTCGTTTTTTCCCACACCCGTCTCAAAAGTTGAAAGGAAAAGTCAACCCAGGCGCGCTCAACCGTTTCTTTACTATCCAGTCCGGGAGGCCTGCGACACTGAGGAGAAAGTTGCCGCCGTCTATATGCAAAATACCGTCTAAACGTGTTGATTCTCTTGTGCGCCGATCTCGTCTCAATCATCCTGGGTACCCAGAGGAGCGTATCTACCGCTGCCGCTGCTGCTCTGGTCTCGAGTGCGACCAACAACTCTAGATACCCATCCACTAATGGTGCTGCTGGCCTCACCATCCTGGCCCTTGCCGTCGGGAATGTCGGGAGGGTCGAGAGACAGGCCAGGAATGGCGCTGTTGGCAGTAAAGTTGCCGGGCCGTCCCCGGTATTCGGAGCCGATGGGCGATCCGGGCACGAGCGAGTCGTTCTCGCGGCCATGCAGAGATGGTGTTCCAATGACAGTGCTGGCGTCGCCAAAGAGCGAGTCCATCTCCTCCAAGCGGACACCGCAGGTCTCGGGGTATATGAAGTATACTGCGGAGGTGTGTCAGCAATCAAAGTCCAGCCTGGGTACCAAGAAGTCAACTTACCAACAATGAAACTGACTGCACAGAAGAAGGCGTGCAGAAGGTACAACCGCCACTTGATCCACTCCTGCAGCAGGGGCGTCATTTCTCCGACAAGCCAGTTGAACGCCCAGTTGGTTGCGGTTGACAGACTGGCACCCTTGGAGCGAATGCTCAGAGGCAAGATCTCCGGAGGGTAGAGCCAAGGGATCGGGCCCCATGAGTATCCAAAAGCCGCATTGTAGATCATGACAAAGATGACGACCAGGGTGGGTGTATAGGTGATGTCGAGGTAGAGCCAGTACGAGATCATTGACAGTGATACACACATGACAATGGCACCGCTCAGCAGGATGGGCCGGCGACCCCATCTGTCAACCAGGTACCATGGGGGAATAGTCGAGAGAAGATAGGTAATGCCGTTCACGCCAGCCATGAGGACGGCATCGTGACCAACCCAGCCTGCCTGTTCAAAAACGTAAGGAGCATAGTAGCTGATGACGTTGATGCCATTGAGCTGAGCGAGACCCTGGGCCGACATGGCAATGAAGACACGAGTGCTGTACTTGCGGAACATCTCGGCGTATGTCCTCTCACCCTCCTGTCGCTGCAGAAGCACGTTCATCTTAATTTCGCGGTACTCGTCTCGGGCCTTTTGGTTGTGGATGTCACCCTTGCCGTAGAGGTTGGCAATGACAACAATACCTTCTTCGTCGTGATCGTTGTCAAGGAGCCATCTGGTCACAAGTCAGGATCGGCCACACAAACATTCATGGCACGCAGAAGACCAACCTTGGAGACTCTACAATGACCAAGCTTCCAATGCCCAGAAGGGCTCCCATCACGCACTGCATCAGAAGGGGAATACGCCATGACATGTCACTTTCGATGAATCCGCAGAAGTAGTCGACCCACACCGAGGTGGTGTAGCCGATGATGTTGCCGGAGAACTCGATGCAGGCAAGCTTTCCACGGTTGTGGGGAGGGGAAATCTCAGACTGATACACTGGGACGATGGTAGACAGAGCACCAACGCCCAGACCAGCAATGATTCTGCCCAACATCATCATGGGCATGCCATTGGCAAATGTCTGCAAGGCACCACCAACGAAGAAGATCATGGAGCCATATAGAATAGTCTTGCGCCGGCCGATGATATCGCCAACCTTGCCAACGACTAGAGATGAGATAAAGGCACCAACCTCGAGGATAGCAACCATGGTACCAATCTCGGCCGAGGAAGGCTGATGGAAGTAGTTACGGAAAAAGACACCCCTGTTGATTCCATCAATTAGCTGTGGCGATCAAAAAGGTGAGCAGCGGGCAGAGTATTAGACGTACGTGATGATGCCTGACATGACACCCTGATCATAGCCGAATAAAAAGACTCCCAGGGAGACGAAGATACTCGTGAAATAGCTGTTGGAGGAGGAGGTAAAGTCAGTCAAATCATGTCGCGATAAGGGTATTTCGGAAGGGCAGGACGCACATCAGGGCCTTGCCAGTGAGGCCGTGAACAGAAGAACCGCCCGGCATGATGGCGCCGATGACTCGCTGCGCGCGGGTCGGACGAGGTTGGGCGATGTCGGGAACCTCGATTGCCTCCTTATTAACACCTCCACGACGGGTTTGGGAGTTATCGCGGCGACTAGGAGACTCTTGTATGCGAACACGCTTCTTCTTGGAAGACTTGTGGGAGGGGTATCTCTTGTGAACGCCGGCTAGCAGCTCGTCATCAACGTCGCTGGGCAGTTGGGTGCGAAGGGGATCTTCGTCGTCGATAAGGTCGGCGATGTCCCCAGTGTCGGTCCAGGAATCGGACTCGGAACCGAGAGAGTCCTCTGATGACGGGTGGCCGTGATGATTGTGTTTGTCGTTGTCGAAGTTGTGGTGTTGGCGGTGGGAGGAAGAGGAGGTGTGGTGGTGGTTGTGGTGATCACGGTCACGGGCGCTGTGGTGGTTATCGTCCCGATCAGATGCTAGCAATGACGTCGCCTGTTCTTGCTGGTCTGGATGTGGCCGGGACTGCAGGGTCCGCAATGGGATGTTGGACGGGAGACGTCTACCGTTTGAAGAGGGAATCTTGGGCGGTTATGGGGCTGATTAGCGACAGCACCCTTCCGCTCTAAGAGGAATTGAAAAGGTTGGGGGGGTGGAAGTGAAAAGAATGTCTAAAAGACGACAACTGGCGGGCAGCGAGTCGAGTCGAGTCGAGTCGGGTCGAAAAAGTGACGGTGCTTGGTGCTTGGTGCTTGGTGCGTGTTACTGGGTACGGCGAGTAGGCCGAATCGGCATGTGTACTCTGTAAGGTGAGGTAAGGTAGCGTTGGATGACAATCCAATCCACTCCTTGGTGCAGCACTGCAGTGAGAGACTTTGGTGGGACTGGGAAGGGGTAGCTATGCGGACGGGCGGGCTGGTCGTGGGACCGCTGAGCAGGTAGCTCTCTGGGTGGTGCAGGTGCTTGGTCCCAATGTTGGATTTTGGGGAACCTGGGAAAATGGATTGGGGAGCAAATCAAGGCCTGCTATTGGTGCTGCTGTTGCTGCTGGGGCAGAGGGGAGCCAGGAGCAGGACGGGCGCGGGATGGGATTGGGCTGGAAGGCAAGGAGAAGGGGGAGGGGCCAGGCCAAGGCAAGTGCCAGGCAGACAGGCTGGCTGGCAGGGCAAGGCGACAGAGAGAGAGAGGCGGGAAGGGACGGGAGGGAGCGACTGAGAAACTGCAGGAGACAGCCCAGCTCAGGCTTGCGGCAGGAGCAGGAGACAGGCGGCGCGAGTCCGGCTTGGTTGGTGCTTTCCCAGAGTGGATGCCGTCGATGCAACCTGCTGCACAGTGACACACGGTCTTTCCAGGAAGCCTGTGAACTTGGGAAAGACCAAGGAAACCGATTGCTGGGGTCCCACTTTCCTTCGGTTGTAGCTTGTGCGCTGAGCAGCAAATTGTGGATCACCGCCGACCGGTGCAAGAATAGGTAGGTAAGGTAGCTGAAGACGAGCAAGTACTCAGTACTGAGGTATCCTGAGAATAGGATTCCAGAAATCAAATTCCAGTCTCTGCTTTCTTCTCCTCCTCCTCCTCTTCTTCTCGATCAATGCCAATGTCAATGTCTCTCAATACTTTTCGAAAAGAGCGAGGGGACAAGGTACAATGGAATGGCAAGAATGATGTCCAGGAATCCTGGCTTGGGGCAAGTGTCTTCCTGCGATAGGGAGGTACCGATGAGAAGCAGATGACCAGCCAGATGAGAGCCAACCTTGTTCCTTCAGGCTTCCCGTATCCTTTCGGTACAGGGTGCAGCTGGCCAAGGGGGCAAAAAGAGTACAGGCCGTACACAGTAGCGCGCGAGCCCACCTGAATGATGCTTCTACGCAACGGTGCAGCAAAGACGATGCCGCGATGGGGAAAACGGATGCAACAGGCAGTGAGAGAACTCTTGAAAGTCCACGCCGTTGTCCGATTTTCTCCTAGGGTACGGATAGCGCCTAACGGGTTTGAGGCAGTATGCCCAGTAGCGCAGATCTACCTGACCCTTTGCCTTGGCACAGAGTCCCGTCGATACAGCACGCAGCACGCAGTACGCAGCAGCACTCCGTGTCGGTAGAGCGATGAAGTGATTGAAGGGGGTTGGTAAATGTGCGAACCAGTGCCGATGACGAAGTCGATGAAGAACGTGGGTTGATTTGCTGCTAACGCGGCTACCCGCCTGGACGGTGCGATACGATACGGTAGATACCTATGGTAAGAGTACCTCAAGAACCAGGGATAGAAGAGTGAAAAGAGCAGATGGAGATGGCAAGCATGAAGTGAGAGGTCAACAAACGGTCATGCGGCCGAGTATCAGTCGAGTTGTGGGTGGTGTCTTGTATCGAACGAAAGGAGTGTCAGGTGGTCTGGGTGAAGTATCTGTACGGAGTACCGGGCCACGAACGTTGCTCGAGAATGGATTGGAGGTTGAATGAATGGTGGTTGAGTTTCTGAGCCTCCTTTGGGGGAACGCGTTGGATACCTTTAGACGGGACGGGGCACAAGACCTCCTTTTCTTGCGGCTGGACGAGCAGCAAGGGACAGATTTCTGTCCTCAGTCCTGCCGCCCCTGAAATGAGGATTATCCGATTCTGGCGCATGGGTTCCGGGAGCCAAGGGAAGGGAATCTGGGAACTCTGCGGACGGGACGGTCTGTCCAATGCGATTGCCAGATGGTCAGATTACACAGATTACCTCCTTCTCACTTCTCAGAGGCTGAGGAAGTTACTCACCCACTCAGTATGGATCTATGGATGGACCTGCCGCGTCGTATGCGTATGAAAAACTATGGGAACTGGAGGAGGCTCAGAGATCAGAGAGAGATTGAGGGACCACTCAACTCCAGACCCGAACCTTCCCTCACAGATTCCATTTCTTCTAATTCCACCGTCCGGCCCCACGCCTTGCAGGCACACGCCGCACAACTTCACACACCTAATCCATCCTGGGCCGCGTTATCCCATCCCATACTATGACACTTCACGCTCGGCACGCTGCTCTTGGCCCTCTCAATTTAGGCCATTTACGTATCGCTTACACTTCTATTTGCTATTCTCAACGTGAGCCCAATCCAGTATTATCTGCTTCAGAGGTGACCACACACGTGAAACCGTTTGCTGACTCGATTTGTGGGCCATTCCCCTGGTCCCGAGGGAAGGGATCATCGGCGTGTCGTCGGGCTTTCGGACCATACGAGACCGCCCCCAAACCTAGCCTTTTGCAACCAATCCCGTATGCCGACAGACGACAGCCGTGATGGATGTTGCATTCGTCGAATTGAGGCCCGTCTACAGTCCCAGAGTGCAGACTACCTCACAGTGTATCAATCGGAACTTTCCTTTCCCTGAGGCTTTTCAGCCGTTGAAGATCGTCCCGGCCCGGGTCGAACTATCCGCTGGCGCGGTTCGCACACCCTCGTGGAATTGTCGTGCCTTTTTTCGTTTCCGGGTGCGCTATCCCGCTGCCGTGTCCCAGCACAGGCGTTTTGCAACGTCCATCCAACGGTTCCGTGAGGGCACACGGCCCCGTTTTTGACGACGATGCCGAAAACCGTCAGAGGCAAAGGGGGCTCCACAACGGTGCTTTGCCGTCGCACCAGCCCCTTCGCTGCCCATCAAAACATCGACGTCATTTCTTCAGGACCCATTCGAAGATGCAAGAGGGTTCATCCTGCCACCACCGCCTTTACCCCAGACAATGCAACCACAAACCCTCTGCGCAATGTGCACGGCGTGACAACCTTACCCTCGCCAACCTCGGATCTGGGAAATCTTCTCCCCCCAAAAAAAGAATCCAGATTCGGAGTTGCAGTAGGACATGATCCATCCCTTTCGTGACCACCTGACACATTGTTGCATGGACTGATCGACGAGTCAAAAGTCGCAGACACGCACGCACGCGACAGCAGACAACAATGCACGTCTCTTCCCACGGCCGCTCGACCGACGATATTGACACTGTCTCGAGAAAGACCCTGAAAGGAACGACTTCCAGGTTTAAGCCCTCCACTTGGTGAACACTGTGGTCCACATAAGTCTCGAGAACCAAAGCTGCATTCATGGCTCACGACACGACGGACGGGCCTCGTTTTCCACTGATCCATCTTCATGCTTGGAAGTCTGCATTGGAAGAGCGGGGATGATTCCTTTTCTTCACGAGTACCTTACTTCCCCCCAGTCCAGTCCTCCGCGTCTGGGTTGCTCACGAGTCGCGCCCGATCAAGACCCCAAGACCCCAAGACCCCAAGACCCTTAAAATATCGCGGAGGAGGGGAAGCAACTTGAATCGTTGACTAAGACACTGGAGAAATGACCGTTCGATTCCCGCCGAAAGCGAATGTTTGTAATGTGGGCGACGTGGGGGAAGTGACATGCCGTAAGGCCCGTGACGGTTGAATATTGCTTATTAGTCAACTTGTTGTGCAATAAGCATGGAAACAGAGAGCTCTGGTCTACTTCCAGAGCAAAGAATGGTTGTCGTTCTCCACGTCCTGGGGTACACGAACGCCGTTTCTTCGCACTTCCTACACCCTACCGTGTACCAGATTAACCCAAACCAAGAAACATCCGGAATCTTCTTGAACAGATCAAAGTGATCTTCTCACCGCAATTTGAAAGCATGTTTAGGAAGATATTACATGTGGGTCGCGAGGCCGGGGTACGTAGGAAGATAGGGATGAGCCGGTAAAGTGGAGACATATCCTGATATTGTTTGTGGTGAGTCGCAACACCACGACCACAAGCTCACGTTCGCGATACCAAGCATTGCGGTGTTGATCGGGTCACCGATCGAACGAGCAGTCGAGATATCGCTGCAAAGCTCGTCGCTCTGTGACTCTTTTGAAGGGTTTGGGTCTTATCGTACACTGAACATAAGGTGTTCCACCGCGAAGCCCGACATGATCATTTCAATGACGACGCATCTTCATCAATCTTTCCACAGATGACTTACCCCATCAGTCCAATCTCCGCCCGCTTCTGGGTTCACCTCAGTTCTCGCTTTGACATTTTCAAGTACCTCGCTCAAAGACGAATCAATCTTTTTCTCGGCAAGCTCAACTCTTGCCGTGTTTTTCATCATCTTCCTCACTTTGGCTGGGCGAGCACCGGTTGATTCAGATGCCGTCTTTCTCTTCACCATCTCTTCATCTTGTAGTTGCCTGAAGTCTCCGATCGCCTTCTTCCTGAAATGGTACTCCAACGGTTCTGTCTTTTCACGTCTGAGTTCGTCCTTCACAGGACCCGGCATGCGCTCCAAGATCCCGACGAGCTCTCGCTTCTGCGTCTTATCGGCTAGTTCGCATGCGTTCTGTCGTATGATTTCGAAATTTGGCGATATGTGCCACGGCTGTTCAAATTCTGGCTCGCTGAGAGGCACAGAAACATACGCGTCGGTCATCTGCTGTTCTGGTATGGTACCATTCTCTGGCTTGGCGCCCGCTTGCAGAGTCCAGTCGTTCTCCTGGACGTGATACTGTCTTCTGTGGTTTCTCAGGGCTCCTTTTGAATCGAAAGCGATGAGGCAATCCAAATCGCTGCACCGGAATTGAGGTTTGTGTGACTTTTCGTGGTTGTCGCGTTCTCGTTCACTTTGAAATCCTGACCAACCTTGGGTACATCCAGCCCATCGGCATCGGTAAGCGCCATGTGCGTGTCTCTTGCCGAATTCTTTCCAGTCGTTAGCTGACACAAGCGCTTTATAGGCCTCTAGTGAGGGGTCGTTATTGAGAAGCGACTCGAGTATCGAGCTGTATTTGAGATAGGCTTCAGAGAGTCTCGTCGGGTCCTGCTCTGCACCTTTACCGATTAAGTCAGCCATTGACCTGCTCGTCAGGTCCTTACAGGACTTACTGAGAGGTACCAACTGCGTTCTAGAACTCTCAGATTTGCGGTTTTTGAAGATGTGATATTCTCTGGCCGGGCCCAAGAAGTTGAAGAGAGGAGCAAGAAGGGCATCTGCATCTGCATCAGAGTTCCGGGTCTCGGTTTCAACGACTTCGTTGCTTGACTTGACCTTCTTGAATAAGGCCCAGATCGTCATGGTCTTGTCTCGGAGTCTCTGCAAGTCTGTCTCGGATCCGATGTGGACACTTGATGATAAATGATCGAACCAAAACTCGTGGGCATAGGGAAACAGGTCATGGTATCCTTTGATAACCTCAGTTACTGGAAGTGGGCAGGCCAATGATACAAAGGACATGCTTGTAGATATATAGCGAAGGCAAGACAGGGCGATCTCAGTCTGCGCCTTGGCAGGTGACACGAATGGCCCGCTTTGTTTACTGAGAAGGTAACTGCTCGTGGAGTGGTGCAATCAGCCTCACGCTCTACCATAGTATGGAGGATAGTCAGTCTCACGTTCTGGCAGTGAAGTGTACTAGAGACACTTGGCCACTAGGTTTCTCTTCAATCAGTGGCTTGCAGAGGTTGAGTACTTTTTTGTTCAACTTCGTCGTCGAGTCGAGTTTACCATGATCTTTGTGAAAAACAATGGCGTCGCAGACCTCGAATCCCTTCATTGGTCGAAGAGAGAGTGTAAGTAGTCCCAGAATTCTCTCACAAATGGTTTGATTGAGGTCGGATTCGTTATCTTTTATCCGATTGAGTATGGTTTGATATCTTCTCCGTCCATTGATTAGCATCAGAGGCCCTTGAAATATCAATTATGGGTTTCTCACACTCCTTCCAAGCCTCTCGGTAGTCTGTCAATAGTTGATCTCAAGTCCTCAACACTTGCTTGGTCTTGCAAAAACCCCATGATTAGATGGACCCATAAGAACATGCCTGTGGTAATGAAGTGTCAGACTAGCTTCGCTTCCTATCGCCGTGGCTTTGCTACACGCTTGTATTTCAGAGAAGACTCACCATCGGCTTTACTCATGAGACTTTCAAGAATGCTTTGCAGGACATCTTCATCAAACTCGTCGTGAAGAGCTCTTAGCTTCACTTTGGCAAATCTAGATATATCTTCTGACACGAGGGCATGCTCTTTATCCTTGGTAAGATTGATCACGGCTGGCTGCTTCCATCTTTTCTTAATTTCTCGGAGAATAGGCCGGGTTTCTCTCGAAGAGATGAACAGCTTGACACTTGACATGCGAGTTCCATCAGCCGGTTCAGGAGCGCCTAGACCATCCGCAGTGTCAGAAGGTGGTTTGAGAAGTCGTGATAGCTCATCAAAGATGCGGACCTGGTCGCCATCGAGGTACTCGTCAATTCCGTCAACCACAAGGAACACATGGCCGAGAGAGTCAACGAGTAACTTCGTTATTTGTCTGACCTTTGTGAGCGGGAGGGTTGAGTTAAATCGGACATGCTCCTCATATATGTATGGGAGTAAACGCCGGTTAAGTCGTAGCATCTTGGCACAGAATACCTTCAAAATGGTGCAAGCAGGGTTTTGTTCGCCTTTCCTCAAGAGTTCAGAGCTCATACAACACATGAGGACTGATCTCGAGGAAGTTGGCGCCATTTGCATCAGATACGAGACAAGCGTTGACTTCCCTGGACCGAGTAAGCTATAGTTTGTGACGGGAGCATCGGGTCTTGTGGTCTAACTCACCTGAGCCTGGTTTTCCCTTCAGCCATAAAACCTGACGTTTATCTTCTTCGTCAAGCCAGGTCATGACCTCCGAATGCCTCATCAACCATTCACATGTTTCTGGGACCCTCGCCTCCTGGAAGTCGTTCAAGAGATCTTCTTGTTCTCTGTCACACACACCGAGTTGCAACCACTCGAAGACTTGGCGTGCATACTCATCGAGTCTTTCGTTCTCCCTCTTGGCTGCTTCTCGCATCAGCCTTTCCCTTTCATCCATTGCCTCCACAATCTCGAAGCTGGCAGCTTCTCGGTCGACTAGATCTCTATTGGTAGCAAGACGCGACAGAATCGCCTTGAGCCGATAGCCGAAGTCTTTCCAGCAAGAATCGAAGAGCCTTCGCCAGCCTAGTCCTAAGTTAATCAGTGATCTTCATACGAATGGCGATTAAACCCTACCAGGTCGGCGTGCAATCTTATAAACATCTAGATGGATTGCAAGTATGTCCATATATACTTCTACTAACACACTTTGAAACTCGGGCTGATTGCGGAATGCTTCGCTGAGCCGTTCAAAGCGAGGCAGGTTTCTCGCGATCTGGGCATATACATCGATCAGGCTTTCGTAGGCTTTGTTTCTATCGAATATCTCGTTTCGCAATATTGTCAACTTCTCTTATATGGAGGATCTCAAAGCCTCTTGAAATTAAACTTACAACTATCGACAGTTTGATGGGCGCCTGGTATGACCCCAAATGTGTTAGACCCAACTACTGAACGGTTTCATCTGTGAGTAGGCCATGATCAACATACCCATGCAAAACATAGAAATGGTATGCCTTGACATAAAGGTTCCAAAACTACTCCGAGTGTCTTCAAAGCCTCGAAGAACGGCTCCAATCGACGAGTATTTCGTAAAGCTCTCCGTTCGCTCTGTTCGCGCTCGACAGCTCTGGCCGCATTCTGAACATCTTCCAGAGAAAGACCACGAAACAATTTGGCGTCACTGGGATATAGTGCTTGTTCAAACTGCTCAAATGCGTCTTGAATTTTCTTCGAATTCTGCGTAGAACATTCGCTTTTCGCAAGGGCCAAGAGTGCCATGACGAGTCCCCGAAGGCGTAGGGAGTCTTTGCGTCTGTAAACGCATCAACAGCGATTCCTCGTCGTCCTTTAAGTTACCTCATAGCCACTTGAGAATTGAAAATCAAGGTAAAGTCTTGAGTTCAACTGGGTTCCTGTCAAAAGTGCCTTGCATAAAACGAAGTATGCGACATGCACGCTGCCGACAGTGCCTTCACATTTTGTCAAATCAGCCTCAAATTTGAACGCCGTTTTGAATACTTCTACATGGTAAGATCCAGATGACATGGAAGCCTCAGTAATTGATTGGCAGCGGACTGCTGACAGCATGCATGATCCTCGCACAATGTTGGCAACGTACATGCTAGCCTGCACATCGATTGCCTTGTCACACCTACACAGCGTTAGGCGGACTAGCTGCACAAACCAGCACAGAACCCCGATTCAGACGCTGGAGCTGATACCCGAAGTGGCGAGAATTGTGCAGAGATTTTTACATCTAGGTAGGGTTAGGAGGAACCGAATCGATTAAAGGGAGTCTGCGTTTGGATGGAATCCAACGTCTTTCCCCTGACTACGAGTGCCGGAACCAAGCGATTTAGGTAGCTTGAATCAGCTAGAGTGAATATGATCTCCGAGGATAGTCTGGAAAAGAGCGCATCACGGTGAGCAGCAGGGATGTCGAACATGCACAATTCAGCTGCTCCTCCTCCAAGCCGCGGGGGCTTGAACAAGTGTGCCTCGTGCCAGGCAGCCTGCCTTGTTTAAGAGAGATCGCATGGACAATCGAATTACGGCATCTGATAAAAACACCTTGGGCTGTTTCGTCGGGGCTACTACACCCCGAAAGGAATTGGCTGGCTGGTTCTGCTGAACGTCTGCAAAGCATGTGAACATGAGCTTGACCAGCGCTTCAGTCCACGTAGGATCGTCCTCCAAGCGACGGAAACTTCATTCAGGCATACCGGAAAATGTTGAAGCGAAGTTTCAAGAGCAGTCAGGTGCAACTGACGATGCTCACTGGCTTTCGAATGGCTTCACCACGCAAGAGGGCTCTCGAAACCCAGTGTCCCCAGAGATATGCTATGGTTCGGTCAGTAGAATCTAGACATCACTAATTCAAGCGTGTGGACTGAGGCGATGACCAGCTTGACGGAATTCCCCTTCGGTTGACGGATTCGACAAAGACAGCTAGCCATCACGATCTCGACCTTCTTTCATGGAACGGCTCGAAATATCTGAAGTCCCTTGATGGATTAAGTGTTTCATATGAACTTCCACGCCGAGCAATCGATATTTTCAGAACCCTCTCGGATAAGGCGAAAGTGCTGCTCGATGTACGCTTGCATGTATCGAACCCTGAGCCGCCCGTCACGCGAAGACAACGCCTGAAAAAAGTCACCAACGACAGCTCACCTGTCTTATCAGCTACAGCCAATTTATACGGTTCCCGCGCGTTATCCGACTCTGTAAGTACGTTTCTAGAGAGCTGTCATGCTTTCCTCCAAGTTCCGGATCGATGTACGTACGACGTTCCTTACGTCAACCCCCAATGCCTGTCATCTCCCGACGACAACACTGTTATGACCTCTGCATTCAACGGCGATATTACTCTGCAATGGGCTTGCGACAACAGCCAGAACGATGATCTTTTCGATGAGCTCGGAAACGATGAAGAGTTTGAGGAAGCTCCGCAGCCAGACCTACTACGGGCTCGACTGAAAGGGTCAGCGAATACCACCAGAACAACCTTATCGCTCGACGACTAACATTGTAAATTCAGACATCAGAAACAAGGACTCAGATTTCTGCTCGATCGAGAGCAGGGGTGGGACTTCGAGAGCAGACGGCTAGATGTCTGGAAATCTTACAAAGATAGATTCGGTTTCTCAAGGCACGATATCCTTCCTACAACTACTGTGGATCAAAATATCTAAATTACACAGGTACAAGAACAATATCAATGGACTCACACAATGCGAAGCTCCGAAAGACTTTCGCGGGGGGGTTTTGGCCGACGAAATGGGCCTCGGCAAAACGCTCACCATGCTGGCACTGAGCGCGGCGGCAAGAGATCCGAAGAGTGACTGTTCATGTCAGGTTGGCAAGGACTCGCCTGACGCCACCGAGAACATACTGGGAACATTGGTCGTTGTTCCCTTATCGCGTATGTGGATATTTCCTTCTTCATCATTCGGGCAATTCACTGAATTGGGTGGTGGAAGTTCTGGTTGTCTGGGAAGACCAAATAAGAGAGTAAGTCGACTCTTATAGGTACTTCGCAATGTGCAACATATGGCTGATATCACAGACATATGGCTCCCGAGTTCAGAAGTTTGATTTACCATGGAAATACTCGAAAGACTCCAAGGGCACGACTCAGGCAATGCGACATTGTCATCACGACGTACAACATTATTGCTGCTGAATGGAATGAACTCAAGAGGTCACGGTCAGCGAAATCGTCCACAACGACCCTGGTAGAGTCGAAATGGCACCGTGTGATCCTAGATGAAGGCCGGTCTCCTACGCGTATACGCAAGTCGGCATGGAGATATTGCTAACTCAAAGCAGCCCACATAATCAGGTCTCCAGGCACGCAAAATGCGAGAGCCGTGTGCGCACTCGAGGCAACGCACCGCTGGTGTATCACAGGCACGCCGTTACAAAACAGAACACAAGACATTTTCAGTCTCCTGAAATTCTTGAGAGTATATCCCTACGACAGTTTCGAGGTCTTTGACAGGGACATTACAAAGCCCTGCAAGGTGCAGGTAGAAGAAAGAGGCCTCCAGTTGCTTCGCAAATTGATGCGAATGGTCACCCTCCATCGAAGCAAAAAAGTTATCGAACTTCCGTCTATACAAGAAGCCATACAAGAGGTCGAAATGACAACTGCTGAGCAATCCATGTATGAAGAAGCAAGGGATGGAACGCGCCGATTCATCAGCGATGTGTTGGACTCCGAAGCCGGGGCTCAGGGATCTTCCTACATCCACGCATTTCGCCGAGTAAACGACATGAGATACATATGCAACAACGGGATTCGACAGCGAGGAAGACGCCTGAACCCAAGCCCTTTATCTGAAGTAGAGAGTGAATCAGAGACAGGGGTGGACGAGCTGGATCATATCCTGGACAACTTGGACGAGGCATGCTTTGACTGCGGGACTGATATTACAGATGCTCAAGAATCCTATGATATCCGTGAGGTTCTCACCGACATGAAAGCAAACCAGCAACAGATCTGTGTGGAATGCTCTCGGAGACAGCTACATACCCAACAACCAGATACAGATCTTGAAGACCCGGTCGCTTCTCAAGTCGAATCACAAACACTAGCCACGGAACCTTTACTGTCGAGCAAGGTCAAAGCAGTCGCCTCGTTCGTGGAAAGCATTCCTCGGGGGGAGAAATGGTAAGCTGCTGTTAAGTGATGAAGTAAGAACCCCCTGCGCTAAACAACGGCAGCGTGATCTTCTCATTCTGGACGACAACGTTGGAAACTATGCAGCGTGCGTTGGACGACTGTGGAATCTCCAGCTGTTGCTACCGAGGCGACATGAAGTATGCTGTAAGAACGGAGTCCTTGAAGAAATTCTCGAACGACGAGACGATCAAGGCGATTCTGGTTTCCATTAGCTGTGGAGGCCAAGGGTAAGAGCTTCTCCCATCCTTTCTTCCTCTTCCTAATGCACGTCGTCGCTGACCCTAGTTGAAGGCTCGACTTGACCATCGCAAACCATTGCATACTTATAGAGCCGCAATGGAATCCAATGGTGGAGGAGCAGGCCATCGCGCGTGTACACAGACTTGGTCAGCAACATGCCGTCTCTGTCACAAGGTTTGTGATGAAAGGCACTATCGAACGAAAAGTTCTAGAGCGGCAAATGAGAAAGAAAGTCTTGGCAAACTTGGTTCTCGGAAGAGAGAAGATCAAGGAGGGTGAAAATGGCAAGAAACAGCTTGCAGTGAGTATTTAATTCTCCGGTCTCCGAGATATAATTTGTGCTAACGCGATAACAGAATCTAATGCAGCTCATCTACTAGACGAAGGAACGGTGTTTCAATGATGTTCAACAAGCAGTTGTCTATTCACGATGTACAATTAGTTGTCAGGAAGCATAAGCTGTGAAGCTCCTCGGGCTGCCGCACGGAGTAGGGCATTCTTGATTGAAAAGAAGCGCAAGTCTGGCGTTCCAGGCTAATGGAATTTTGGAAGAGCACGTAGGAGCTGAATACGTGCGAAAATAAAGGTCTGATGTGCTGAAGGACAGCTAGACTTTCTCTTGTCTCTCCGTCTCCTCACCTGGATTTCTCCAAGAGAAGGTAAAGGACCATGTAAATAAGAAACCTTCTATAAAACATCAACCACCGCAAAAGCGGACGTACTCTATGGCATGCCACATAAGCAGCCGGTATGGCGAGCGAGAAAATAGGGTTCCCTATATACCTAGCAGATCGGATTACAAAAGAACTTTCAAGAGAGATGGCTACTCAGCGTGTTAGCTAGTAATCACGTCCCACCCGAATGATGACAGCTCATAGTGCTGAGATGTCTGCGATCCTCCGTTATTAGGTAGACTTGGTCGCAGATACACTGTACGTAGCCACGATTCAACAAAAGAATATGTAATAAATTCATCTACAGGAGCCACATATGATGAATTTCGATAAGTCTCACGTCAGAAAAAGACAATTTTTGTTTGATACATTGATCATGTCACCAAGTACCTGGCCGCTGCTACAGAGGCTTTCGAATGCGGCCCCACTAAAACAACAAACCCACGATCCCCTCAAAAAAATACTCGGGGACACCAAAAAACATACAACACCAGGTATTCGCTGGTCGTCACCGACCCAACTACTAATCCGGCCCTCATTGGCTTGTCTATGGGAGAGCGGACGGGATCCCGAATTTTCCAATGGGTATGGTCGTATGTGGCGGTCTGAGGAGGGCAAGATGATCATATTCTGGTGGAACGACGAGGGATTGTGGAAGGAAGTTTGTAGGACTTTACATAAGGCAAGTAAGGCTCTGTAAACGTCAATGCGTCTCTGATGAGAGACTTGGTGTCAGTTAAACGCTTTATAGTTTGAAATTCGCGTGGTATATCTGGCTGTTGCCCCCTATCGTTGCATTGTCCCCGAGTCTCATCAGCCTCCATTGACGAGCATAAGAGGGAGAATAGACAATACACTCCTTGCGAATCTTTCTTTTTCCAGGCTGCTCTAGCTACTTAGTTTAGAGAGTCCAAGTAAGTACATAGACTTTTCCGGTAGGAAAACGCTTCATAATACGCCAACCATCATGAGCTCCGGCTGCGAGAGCTTGCACTTCCTTACAGCTTCGAGATCGACAAAGCTGTTGATATCGAGTGTTAGATATTGGTTTTTTAGTATCTTTATTGATAGTTTTTTGAAAGATCTGTAAACCAGTACAATTCGTGTGGGCGCCGCTGATTGTAAAGCTGAGATTCGCGGTCTTGAACAACCGCAGTATGCCGTTCAGCTGTATTTGCGGTTCTTCGAGGACGCAGGAACTGTGCCTCTTAGTTTCTGTACAAATAGTTGAAGTGGAAAGAAGAAGGAACATTGATAAGTCTACAGAGCGAACCCGATGTCAAACGAGGAAGAAAACCAATTGCCTTAACTTTTCTGTCAACCCTCTTGATCCCCATACCAACATCAGGCACGGGAGGTCCATGCAATCGAAACCGACTCTGTTCAATCTTACATTTGGTGCAGAATTCTCTCTGAGATACCTTTTTCTCCGAAACCATCCAGCACATTTAGTTGTAAGCAAATTACTTACCATCATGGGCATGTCAAATGCCCTTTATCTTCCTTATCTTAGTCGGAGCCGGTTCCGCGCTACAACACCAGAACCGTTCCGTACAAGTTCCGAGGGTGCGGGGAACCCGATAACACCAAGCCGACAACCACCAGATTCCAGAATTGACCAACACAATTCAAAGACGTTGAATTCTAGATCTCATCTATTTCAATGACGATGGACCGTTCCGTTCGGAATAAGAAGGAAAAGTCTCGAAGTGGGTACCAGACGCGGCCTCTAATACCAACTGTGGTCGTTCCCCCCAACTAACAAGCGTCTGTCTTCCGATTACATTAGGTGGTTGCCTCGTGTGTAAGCGAAGGGTAAGTCAGTTATGACTGGCACTTCCATCAGCTTTGGAACTCGATTCTAATGTTGGGTTGTAAACCAAAAGCGCGTCAAGTGTGACGAGCAAGAGCCAAGCTGTCAAAGATGTATAAGGATTGGGACCGAGTGCCCTGGATACAAGCGACCTGTGAGATGGTCTACCAAGTATGAGAAGACTACGGTCTCTGGTTACAATCCGACCAATCTTGGCAGCTGCAAGACGACCAAGTCGGTTCAGTGTATTCAAGGACTCTCGGCAGTTAGAGAGCATTCGACCGCCCTGTCATCTGAGCATCTTCAAGATACGCCTCCTCATGCTGAGACTGGAGACCTCGACACCATAATAGTGCCAGGCACGTTGAAGAGCATCAGCACAATCACACCATTTCAGGACTGTTCGGGAGAGGTATCAGCACTCTTGCACTACTACTTCTCTACAATTTGCCATGTCCTCTCATCGTTCGACTCCTTGCACAATCCGTTCCGCTCGGAAGTGCCTAGGCTGTTCAGTCAGTCGCCATTGCTGCTCTACTGCGTATTGAGCATGTCCGCCGCCCATCTCTACCAGAATGAGGAGTCGAGGGTTGTTGTCCCGTTACGACTCCAGACAAAAGCCATTTCGTATCTCTCTGAACAGCTACCCAGACCACCTCATATCAATGAGTCTGAAGTGTCCGTCTACAGTGAGCCTGAAGTAGGGAGACTAGTTGGGGCTGATATTGGAGATGATGTGCTTCTGGGAACTATTCTACTAGGAATGACATCGGTATGTTTTCTCACGCTCTCCAAGCTTCAATCCGTCTTCCCTGCAGTCTAGGATTGACAGTGTTACAAACAGGCGTGGCACGACGTGTCTTCCACTGGGTTAATGCATCTCCACGGGTCAAGAGAGCTCTTCAAGACCTGGATGTCATCTAACCATCTGGACACCACCAACCAGAGAAGAACAATGAGCGTGACGCAAGACTTCGTGGTCTCATCTATGGTCTACTGGGAAGCCATGAGCTCCTTTATCGTGGACCAAGCCCCCAATGCTCTATCCTATCTGGACGCTTTCTGCTACCACCATCCGCCACGTTCTCGACAAACGCGTCCGTGTCCCTGGACAGGCGTGGGGACAATCACCTTCATATACCTGGCAAAAACAGCGACGTTGTTCAGGAAGCTTAGAGCTCTGAGTAGTCTGGGCTTATGCGGACGAGGTGATGGCGTCCAGGATACGTCGTACTCGGATCTTTTGCAACATGCCACGATCTTACAAGAGGAGATCTCGAGGCTCGAAGATTCAGCTGTGTTATCAGTTGCAGACAGTGGCGATATGTTCACACCTCCAGGTCATCTCGTCGCCATGGAGCAATGTTACCGGCTGGCGGCTCTGCTTGAGTTGTACAGAGCATTCCCTGAGCTGGTGGAAACCTCAACCGCCAAGGATCACGCGAGGCTCGATGCTAATGGACAGATTAATGAGAAAGCAGAAAAAGTTCATCGTTTTGCTTTTAGGATCCTTCAGACCATGGAAGAGATACCCGTCACATCTGGCACCGTGTCGACACAACTTTTACCTCTCATCATCGCCGGAAGCGTTCTCGGTCTAGTTTCGAGAGAGAATGTTGCCGGTGAAGGAACTGAATTTCTAGGCAGTGCGGAACAAATTACAAGGTGGAGAGAGTTTGTGAGAATGCGCACCCGTTGGCTTTACCAGTTGATTCGACTGAAGCCCGTGAGGCATGGGTTGCTCATCTTGGAAGAAGTTTGGGCGCGCTTGGATGGCGCAAATGCCACAAGTCGCTCTAACTATCTCAATCCAGGAAGGGAGAGTTGCCATTGGATCGATGTAATGGAGGAAAAGGGGCTAGAGACAATGTTGGGGTAAAGCTGCAACGGGTATGGCATTCCTCAGCTTAGACTTAGACGAAAGAACACGCAGATTTTACCAGACATTGGTTTTGATGGAAGCGAGGCGAGCAGAAAAGTACGCAAATGGGGTCGTCCAAAGAAGAAACAGTGTTATCAGCGAATTCGGAGGTCTCGGCAGATAAATGCCATATGTCTACACGCTTCAGGATGTCGTAACGCACCTCGCACTTTTTGTCCTAATTAGGAAATATGTGTCCCCACCCGCCACGATGCAGTCGACACCGGCGATAGCAGAGACGGGAGTAATGGACATGGGCATAAATGGGCTCTGATTTTCCAGTCGGCTTCAGGCTATGGAACATCTTGTTTTTATCAGTTTGCTCTAGCAATCATACACCCCGTTGTTCTCCTTTCACACCATGCCTTCAACTCGAGACGGCTACCTCTGGACTCCGTCCGGGGAGACGGTCGGTCTAAGTACAAAGGCAGTCGTCGAATCTACTCCGGAATCTTCCATCACAAAAACATACGACGTGATCGTAATAGGAAGCGGCTTCGCCGGCCTCATTGCCGCGCGCAACCTCAGCCGTGACTCTGGCGCTCGAGTTCTCCTCTTGGAAGGTCGAGATCGTATCGGAGGGAGGACATGGACAGCCAATGCGCTAGGAGAGGACTTTGAGATGGGCGGGACATGGGTACACTGGAAAGTCTTCTCAAGTTGTCTCCAAGCATATGGTGCAGGCCGACTAACTGGAGCACAAGCAGGCACCAACCTCACGTCTTTACGGAAATCCACCGATACGGTCTACAATCTTACCTGAAGACGTCTTCAGGAACAGCTGCCGCGGAAAACACATTCTACACACCACAAGATTCGAAGCTTGGGCTGGTCGATACCCTCGAAACCAACACAGCGGTTCAAAACGTCGCGGATGCCTTCTTCTCAGTCGATGGTCTGTCCAGTCGCGAGTTGATGCCTTATCCCCATGACCCATTCCGTCTTCCTGCGCTCTGGATTAAGTACGATCACCTCTCCGCCAAAGACCGTCTGGATCAGCTCGACGTTAGCCAACGTGACAAGGACCTCTTCGACGCTATGATCAGCTCCTTCGGCGCCGTCCCCGGCAGCGAGTGCGGTTTCACTGAAGTTCTGCGGTGGTATGCTCTGGGAGGCCACTCTATGGCTGGGACCTTCGAGCTTGCTGGCATGTATAAGCTTGGCGGAGGAGGCATGACCTCGCTAGCACGGGCGATTCTAGCAGACTACCGCGGGCATGTACTCTTCAACTCGGTGATTGAAAAGGTAGAGCAGAAGGGATCGACTGTTGTGGTGTTCAAGAAGCATGGACATCGGTTCGAGGCGAAGTATTGTATCTCAACTATTCCCTTGTAAGTGATTCCCCTTCAACTCGAGTACTGAAGGTGCTAACAGTACGCCCAAGGAACTGTCTGTCAGACGTAACCTTCTCCCCGCCGCTCTCACCACTCAGAATGGAAGCCATTCGGGCAGGTCACATCAACAAGGGAAGCAAGGTTCATTTCCGACTTGCAAGACCTGAACCCGGATGGTTCTCCATGGCGAATGGATACGGGACTTCACCGTGGTGCTTTGCGTTCTCAGACCACAACGGCACCACTGACCAAGCAGACTCTGGCAACTTTTGCATCGGATTTGGCTATGGTTCGCATCACATCGATCCGAAGGCGTCTACTGAGATTACTGCAACTTTCCAAAATAGCATTAAACCTGAAGCTGAGATAACAGCCTACCTCACCCACGACTGGGCCAACGATAGCCTCGCCAAAGGCACTTGGAGTTGCTGGGGACCCAACTCAATGACCAAGTGGCTCGAGCAGCTCCAAAGACCAGAAGGCCGAGTTCATTTCGCGAGCGCCGATTGGGCTGATGGATGGCGAGGGTTCATTGACGGGGCAATTGAGAGAGGGACTACCGTAGGACGAGAGATTGAGGTGTTGCTCGCGAAAGACAATGTCATCGCTAAGCTGTAGAACCTATGTTTACCCATTAAGTGTGTCATATTGACTCTCAAGCTAAGCTTTGCCAAGCAATGGAACACCCACAGACAGCTTTGAATAGCAGCGTGAGGGCTTTTACAGGTTGAAAAGTCACATCCTCAAGGACTAAGAGCCTTGATATTTCCCGGTAGAGGCATTGACTTTGATATGTATCTTTATTAATAACAGAGGCGATTTTTCTCATCAAGATGAACCCTACTTTGTTGTACATTAACCGGGCCGCAAGCCAGCCTTCTTTTTGGGCAGCTGCTAGGCCTCGCTTTCTCATCTTTGTCTATACCCTTTCGTCGAGTCTTCGTCATGTCCAACGATCTATCGGGCTCAGCTCCGAGACTCCACGTTCTACCCATCCAACGCCGTTGCTTGTTTTTCTTTTTGTTGTGCACGTCTAGGCTCCTTTTCTCCTTCTTCGTTTATTTCTTAATCATGCCGTCGAAGGCGGGAATGAGGGTCTGTGCAAGCCAGAATGAGAAGACCAGCTTGGGTCCAGTCATGAGGAGCTAGAAGGAGACCCGAGTGTCAGCAGGTGATCGATAGGGGAAGGAGTTGAGGGGGGAGCTGCTGGATAGTCTTACCTTGGGAACCAGACCCTTGAAGAAAGCGGTGGCACCCTCGTTCTTCATCATGTTGGAAATGATTCTGAAACCACTCTCGGGGTTCTCAAAGTTGCGGTTTTGGATACGGGTCTTGATGACGTCGAGGGGAGCGGAGACGAGGAGGGAGGCAGAGGCACCGGCGATGGAGGCGATGAAGTTCTGGAACCACGAGGCCTTGTTGTAGTCCTCGAGCTTGAAAAGGTACTCCTTTGTGAAGGCGGATCCACCGAACAGCTGTTGATAGGAAAGAAACACCAGTTAGTCGCTGCTACAGACCCGGAAATGAGTTGGGAGTGTGCTTACAGCGAAAGAACCAGGAGCGTTACGGGCGGCGGTCCAGCCCCAACCTCTGTACAGGCCGAAGCCCTCATCGGCAACGATTCTGAAGACACCACGGCCGCGGAACGCCTCGGGGTTTGTCTGTCTCTTGATCTTGAGGACGTCGAGGGGAAGGAGGACGATCTCTCCGATACCGATCAAACTGTGATAAAGTCGCCGCGTCAGAATGCGAGTTGGGTCCCCACAGATATCTTCGGTCTCCGAGCTTTGCGCCTGGAGGGGAAAATTTCACTCACCTGCCAGCGGTGGAGTGCATGATAGCCTTGCCAGTCTTCTTGCCGAAAGCGCGCTCAAAGTCCTCGCCGTAGTTCTTGGCCAAGAAGTCCCTGGCGATGGGCTGACCGCCATACTTGTATATTCTCTGGAGGACCTTGTAGCCGGCGGCGTATCCCAGACCGGGGAAGAGCGAAACGAACTTGCGGCCCGCTGTCGCGTTGGCGGTGTCCTTGAAGATGACCTTGTTGAGTTGCTCGACGCCGGAAATCTTGATTGCGAAAAAGTGTCAGCTTTCTCGGGGCGTCATGTCGTGGAAGCTTTGCTTGCGGGAGGCAGGAAAGGGAGGGGGGTGGAGCTCGGTCCGGCGTACCTTGGTCTGGTTGCTCATCAAGCGCTTAGCGATGGTGTCGACCTGAGCTTCTTATTAGCTTCTCGTCCCACGGCCCATCAACTAATCGTAGCTCTTCGTGGGACTCACGGGGTGGAAGACGGCCAATTCAGCGATACCAGCGGAGCCTGCAAAACGTCAGCGCGCCGAGCTTTCACGCGCGGGCGCAAAAAAGAGGGAGCATACCGGAGCCCAGGAGTCGCGCGGTGTTCGACTCCTTCTCCCGTCCAGTACTAGCAGTCGGAGACATCTTGATAGGAATCTGCGATGAAGTGCGAAAGGGTAACTAAAAGTCCCAATTGAATAAGAGCAAAAAAGGCGGGTTCCAGAGGTTCGGACTGTCGTCAGGTCGTGGGGGCACGGATATCAGGAGCAGCTCGAAAGAGAAGGGTGATTCAAAGTTTTGGAGTCGACAGCTGGGAAATTTTTACTCAACCACTTTGGACCGAACTCGCAGCTTAACTTTTGCTGACCCTGCAGGGACAGGCCACCCTGGACCGCCGAGCACCGGGAAGTGGAGCCTAGCACGGTAGGGATTGGTTCGCCGCGCCGAAGCAGCTTCTATCTACCGACCGGTACGCTAGTTCCGACCATTCTCGACCGATCGGGCTGACTTGCGGCTCGGTTTATAGCAGAAATGGATTCACTTGACCACGACCTACCGTACCGGCCATATACATGTTCTCACTCGGAATCACATCGTGCTGTCGGGGTAGCTAAGCTCCCGCTTGGGCGAATTCGAGAATCACACCCCAATTTCAGCGAGTCCGGCGAAGTGGCGTATGATGCTGAGACGTGGTTCCTGGGAAAAACTGCGCTTCCTTTTGATTTTGGGTATCTATCATCCTTCTGCCATCCCCCATTTTGAGCCATTCGCCCAATACCTCATTGCATATGCCGATGATGGTGGTACTTGAGTCGCTGTGTACGGTTTTATGCCTCGATCTAGTAGTCTCTGAAGACTCCCACTAGTTCGTCCAGTCTCATGACGTGAGCAAGAAGTTTGCTCTGCAATTCCAGGTACTTGCTGTACTTGTTGTAGTGTTCTGCAGTCATGACCTCTTCCTCCTTGCCTTTTACGTCCCTTCTCTCAACAAATGACAAAATGTTCCGTTCTCGGTACCGATGCACTTCCAAGTTTTGAAGGCATCGAAGCATTGCTTTGTAATAGTCATCGACCAGCTGCGCCTCGGTCCTTTCAATGTCAAAGAACCAGAAGAACATTGTTCGCGTCGCTGTTCGACTGGCATCTCTGGGAACCTCCTGAACATCAACGAACCCGGCCATCTGCATGGCAAGCATTTTGCCCTGAACCTCTCCTTTCTTCATGAGAGCGAGAGACGGGAGCATCTTCTCATCCAACTTGCCCTTCTCTCGCATAATGCGAGTCAAACGCAGTCCATGCCGGCCGAATGACTGCTCGATGACGGCATCCACCTCTGTCTGTTTGAAACCCTCGATTAATGGCTTGAAATCGACGGTCCACTGCCCTCGGCCTTGACTGCCACAGTGCCGCAGAAAGCCTTGCCGGCTTTCAGATAGTAGTAGCAAATGCTGCCGCATTTGATCGATACGGCTAGCGCCAAATATGGGCCCATCTTCGAATCTGACCTCGCGGGATCCAGAAGCTGCCCGCGGCCCCTCGTCTTCGGACACGCCCGAATCTGCTGCGCCGTTCATGTTGGGACGAGCAGAAGCCCTCGGAGCCATCGGAGGTTCGTAATCAGAATCGTCGGAATCGTACATAGGCTGGCCTGGCGTGGCTCTGACCTTCTCAGCACTGCGAACGTCAATCTGATCTGCAGAAGCCTTTCCAACTCCATGAGAGACGTCAATGGATTCATCAAGGTTTTCGAGTATTTCCAGACTGGTCACAGTGACTTGGCGTGAGTTTGAGCCTGGACCGTCTGCGTCGTTATCAGAGTCGATTCTCGGGTCCAACTGACAGCGGGACACCTGTTGCGTCAATAGCCGTAGAGCCGTGTGGTATACGAGGCCGGTGACTTCTCCAAAAGCATCGGCTGCGTACTGGGCTAGCTTCTGGTTTCGCAGCTCAACGAGACACTTCTCGGTGTTGACCCTGAGAACAATGTGGGACTAAACTTTGTGATTAGCCAGGGAAGAGGAAGAGAGTTTTTCGTGCAGATGAAGACTCACGTCGATCTCAGGTACATCCTCGTCCCAGTCTGCAGATTCTCTTGCTCCTCGGCCATTGGCAAGCTTCCTCCGCTTGGTCGAAAACACGTTACCTCGTCCGACTTGTCGCTTCAGCTTTTTGCTCTCGTCGCGTGCCTCTCGGAGTCTCTTTGAAACTTCTGTTTGCATGAGTTCTTTGTTTCGTGCTGTCGCTCGTTCGCCAGGGGCCGTTTTGGTGACCTCCTCTTCGATCTCGCGGTAAACGTCTTCAGGGTTTCTGAACGTCTTGGGCCCAACCTGATCAACAATTTCCGCCACAATTAGCCGATTCAAGACAGCGTGAAGCTCCTGAGCCGCATGCGACGGCCCATGCCCGTTGACCTTTGCCTTAGAGCCGTTGCCGTTGACATGGCCGTTCGTCGCATGGTCGCCATTGAGACCTGTTCCGTTCCTCCCCTCAAAAGCCTGTAAGAGATCCGATACCCTAGCGTGGCCGAGCTGCATGATGGTTTGTACAATCTCCTGCTCCGCGGGGCCGAATTCGGTGCCAACCATCTCGATGATTTTTCCAGCTCGGATAATATTGTAGCATCCATCGGGATTCGCTTCATAGGTGCCGATCTTGTTATTGGAATCGGACTCGTGGTAAATGAGGCTCTGTTGAACGAGGAGGGCTAGGCCATGGCGCAATTGCCGCGGAGTAAGACCAGTGGTTTGAATAAGTTGAGCAATGGTAGACCTGCCCTTACTGAATAGCACAGCCAGGATTCGCTGGAAGAAGAGCATCTGTTAGTATGATCTGTTGAGGGTCCATAATATGTAGAAGGTGCGATTGTGTTGCGCCGTGTCAGACATGGAGATGGTGTTTGAAACTTACTGCAGGTAGCTCGCCGCATATGTCGTTGACAAGGTGAGCGCAAAGCTCAGCGCCATGCTTGGTCTGGTGGAGGAGTTAGAGAGACTATGATTTCAGCTTGATCAGCGCGATGCGAAACCTACCACCAACATGGCGAAACTTGGATTCAGGAATCAATTGACTCTAGAGATCCTCTCAATATCCCTAGAGCTGCCACACAAGCTACCGAGAAGTCATTGAGATAATACAGTGCCGTATGCTGGGTATTGAACGAAGCACTTGGCCACAGATGACTTTGTCGCAGTGAGGGTCGCGGTCTTCAAGTGGTGGAGGGACTGAAATAAAAGTATGGGAACTTTTTTTCTGAGCGGCGGGCCACCTAAGGCGGGGTGGGGGACAAAGTCGATGGAAAGCGCCGAGTCACCGACAGAGTCATGGAGGCTGAAGCTCCAGGTGGATGGAAGGCGTGGCTAGAACCTCTGAGGTGCAGTGCCAAAAACTTAGGTAAGAATGGATCTGCGACGCTTGAATGGAGCCTGAAATTCAGACGTCAATTGAGGCCTTCTTGGGATGGCGGGTGCTTAC